ATTACCTCTGGTATATCATGCCACTCTTTTGCAGACATTATTTTCACGGTTTAATTTCTTTGCAGAATTTTAGAGTTAATCTGTATCTCTCTCCTGATACCGTATGTTGCTGTTTTCCACTTGTATGGAAATGCAGGTAATCTTGCGCCCTCCATGACTCGGGCAAGTGCTTTACAAAAAAGCATCTTTGACAGTTATCTTTATACTTTAACACAACCAAAGAGTTAGTCTCTTAACCACTAGGCCTTGTACTACTTTGGGATTGGACAAAAGGTAGAAGTCTTGTGATAGTAGTATCCATTTATGAGTTTGCATTATCATTTCATAAGGCAAAACAGAAGGTGATATAAGCCCACTGCCATTCCTTGGTTTTTGACGGAACATATTCATCAAAAAAGCATGCAGTCCCCTGAGCTTGCAGCCATATGCTACAGGAAAATGTCACCAGTTAAAGATGTATTCATTTACTGTTTTGAAAACTCTGTTTGATATTCATGCATTCCAAGTGTTTTGACCTAGATTTCTGTAGAGGCATTAGATCCAGTACTGAACAGGAAGCTAGACAGCTGTTGCTTGTGTAGTCAAAGGAAGAATTTAAAGTAAGGGGAAAAAAAAGAATAAAAAAATGAAAACATTTATTAATGCATGCCAACATTTTGCACAGCCAATATGTTTAATACCAGATTAACTAATATAAGCATATGGAGATGCATTTGTTGCAAAGCTTTAAAGAAAAGAACAAAGAAAAAAGTTGGATATATCTAAAGTTCACATAGAACAGAATTTGCACTTTCTCCTGTAAATGAAAGCCTGGTGAAATGGCAACATACTTTAATTACAAGCTACTTGCTAATGTCACAACATTTAGGTTTTGGGGCTATATTGTAGTACAAACCTCTAAGCACATGCCTTGCTTAATTCAGAAACCTACAGGTAATAAAAATCATTACTGAGTTCTACAGTCTTTGGAGTTTATTATGTCCCAAAGTCTTATGAACGGTTTGTTTGTTTTAATTGTAGATTCCTTTCTAATAAATCCATGTACAAAACAGATACAGTGTAAATATATATAGCTAATTACTAAATGCTGGTAGTTGTTCTACTGCTGTGGCAAAGATGCTGCATTTTATTATTACTGGGTTTACATAGATACAGTTCATCTGATGTTCATAGGTCTTTTAGTAGTTGGGTCGCAGCTATAAACAACATTAGAAAACATATTGGCTTGGTTACGAGAGCACTCATGTAATTCAGCTTCAGACAGCCAAAAGGTAGGTGTCAAAGGTACTTGTCCTGATTGTTCTTCCATAGATCTTAATACTCCTACTGCAGCTGTCTTTCTTGTTCTGGGCTCTCTTGTCCTGGGAAGGAACCTATTTCTTTCCTTTCTCTGTCAAGGGGGTTTGGCTGTTTTGTCCAGAGCAGGTGCCAAACCAGTGATAAATATTACCAACCAACCATTATTAATATTGTTTATTTATTTATTTAATATTAGTGGAAAAATCTTTAACTATTAAGCTTCATAAGTAATCTGTTATCAAGTTCAACATCTTCTGATAATACATTTTATATCAAGCCAATCCAAAAATAGAAGAAAATGTGTAAATTTCCCTTCCCTGAAAGTGGTTTTCATTTTCACAGTGAAAAATATGAAGATGGATTTTTTCCCAATAGCTCTTTTCCTAAGTGTTTATCAAATAGTTTATGCAAACACATTTCAGCTTATGGTTTATTTATAGACAGTTCAATTTCACTCTCCACAAAGGTGTGGAATTGGTTACCCAAGCCACGTGCTGGTTATTTATTTATTTACTTACTTATTTATGACTGGGTGAATGAAACTTTTTAAACAAGGGAAAAAATGAATGAAGAATTGCAAAGAAATGATGCTGCAGTTTAGAATGAAAAAATCGACAGGACTAAATGTCATAAAACTGAATTCTGCAATATCTTCATGAATAGTTAGGGTTCTCAGGAGTGCCTGTTGACAACTAAAAACCTGTACATTTAGTCACCTGGCTGGAATACACACATGGATGTATGTAGGCATACAGCCTTGAATAATGTCCCATTTAAATGTCCAACCCTTCTGTTCAGATGTGCTGAGTATTTTGTGAACATACATCTACACAGAGAGATCTACATAAATAGTATGTGTGTAGTTATCATCACTCTTCCTGAATTGCACTATTTGCACTTGAAATAGATGAGCTTCAGATGTAATGTCAAATCTCAGAATTCTAATGAGGTTTACCTTTCTAATCCAATCTCACTGATGTGGGCTTCTGCCACTAGACATGAGGCTTTGGAGGCAACCCATGCTTGCATTCTCACAGAGTTTGAGGTCAGAAGCAAGTTATGAGGACAAGGACCTTTGGGACTGCATATTCTCAAATATGATCCCACCAGAGTAGCAGAAACACCACTACAAATGTAGAAAATGGAGAAATACTTATGAAGAAAGTTAAGAAGGGACATGGAAAGATCATGACTTCGAGGGGAGGGATTGAACAGTGATGAGAAAATAAGCATGTGATGGTTGGGGTTGTAGAATTTTGCAACCAGAATGAAAATAACAAGTAAGGTCATAAATATTCCCATTTATGATTTATGAATACAGCTACAAGAATCTTCCTATTTGCTAGAGTGTTTTTTTTTCTCTTCTTTTCTTTTCTTTTCTTTTCTTTTCTTTTCTTTTCTTTTCTTTTCTTTTCTTTTCTTTTCTTTTCTTTTCTTTTCTTTTCTTTTCAGTAAATGTATCAAGGTGGAACACAGGACTTTTTGTTAAATTTATAATATTTCTGTACATGACTTTTATTTCCATAGAAATATTGCATAAATGTGTTTCAAATAATTTTGCTCAGTAGTGATTATTGTTGATGATGAAGTTTGAAATGTTTGATACTTCCTTTTCCCAAACTGATCAACAGAATCAGATGTCTTTCTAAGCTTAGTTGACCTCCTCAGTTTGGTTGGATGCACAAAAGAAATGTTTGGCTAGTCTGACATTTGGTTAACTTTGACATCCCCCCAAACTGTCCATGATTATCTGGGCATAGGATCAGGAAGAAGCTTGAGCTGATTTGTCTGAGAATAAGATGTTTCAATCCCTCCACCCTTGCTTTTCTAGTCAGAAGACACTTTGCATCTTAAACTGACATATTTTCAGTTTTTATAGTCTACATTTACAAGATCCTTCCATATGGTTAAAGTTAAAATTCACAGAGGCTATAGATAGCTAGGCCACTCTTTTTATTAATCCAAAATGTGCCAGCTGAGTTAGAAAACACTAACTCTGTAGAACAAAATATGAGCTAATAATGGTTTAGTTCTTTACTAATAGCATACCTGACAAAAAATATCTTGTCATCCAACCTGAAACACTTCAGAATTAGCAGCAGCATACTGTACTATAGCCAGTTTGAACAGATGGATTTAGAACCGGAGAGTCAAATATATCCATTTTTGGAATTTGTCTGCCTAATTTACTCATGTTACTGTTACAGAGATACCAAGATAGCTGATGATGATGCTCTGCACTGTATTTACTCGGCTGCATTGCCACACAGAAATGTGATTCATAGACTCCCAGGAATTGCAGATGGAAGAGCCATATTAGATCATTCAATCCATCTCCCTGCTGATGTAGAATTGCTTTCTACAGCTACAGTACATTTTCTAGTGTTTTGTCTGGTCTAGTTGTAAAAGTCCCCTGACATGGGACTTCCACTGCGTCTCTTGGGAAAATACTGCACTGTTCATCTTTCAAAATTGGCACTGTCAGAGGCAGGCTAGAGAACTATCTGGACCATTGACCTATACTCAGTTGGGAATTCCTCCCTTCTTAATCACTAGGTGACCCTACATGAAGATACTGTGCCATCAAAATAACATGTTGTAAATATCGTAAATATTGCAGATTTACAGTAATGGGGCATTTTTTTCTTCTCATTTGCAAGACACTTTTTGCTTTTTCAAACCAACCAACTTTTCCCTCTAGTATGTCTGCTAGTCTCTAACATGGTCTATGTTAGTGTGTTTGACACTAAAAAGGCATCCAACCAATCTCAGCTCCTCTTTAGGTCCTTGCACTTCTCATGTCAAGTTGAAGTTTCCCATTCTCATGTTTGCGGAGTCCTAGCCCACCATCAGTCACAGTGTTTTTACTCCTACCAATGACATTGTCTTTGTGGAGAATTTTGGTTGCTTGTTTACTGCTACAGTAGCCTGTGTTTTATTCCATAAGAGTAAGAAGAAGGAGCTTTCAATTTTCTGATTGTCCAAAAAATGTTTGACCAATAATGTTGTCAATCAACACCAATAAACAATTTCCAAAAATGTCAGCAAACCAAGAAATGAAAAAATACATAAATCTGTTTGACTAAAGGAAGCATTGCACTTAGAAATCTGACACTGTAACTGTACACTGTACACTGCTAACACTTAAATAATCAAAGGAAATATTTATAGGTGGAATTGTTGTAGGCATCTTTTGAACAGAATACTTTGTTTACGTGACCTCTTTTCATATTTAAAAAATAAAATAAAATAAAATAAAATAAAATAAAATAAATAAAATAATAAAAGCGTCAAAGTTCAGGCAGACAATTCTAGTTATCTGTACATATCCTGGCTTTTCATTCAGTAGCTTTCCTAAATGGGATGATACGGACGTCCTCACATCCTTCCCATTTACCTACTTCTTTTACCATAACTCTTACCAGACAAGGCAGACCAATGTCAAAAGATTTCACTGGAACTAATCAGAATTTGGTCTGTTGAAAAACAAAACAAAAACAAACAAAACCCACAGTTTTCTCTTCACTTCAGGAACAATTAGGAAATAGAAAATGGAAAATGAATCCTGGAAAAATGAAGCTCATTACATATTTATACAATTTAAAATACATGTATATTTTTTGGTTACCTATGTGATTTTTCTTAGGTTCTGAGCCAGAACTGGATACACCAAACACCAAATGAAAGGCAGTTATGCCAGTAATGCTAGCCCATCTGGATGCAATAACTACAGTCAATCACAGGGTAAATCCTTATCTGATGAGCTTTCCAGCCCAATTTTTTTAGACATGAGAGGTTCAGATAGTTCAGATAACGTTTGGCAGCTGAATTGGTATTTGTCCCAAGCAAACCTCCAGAGGTTTGCCAGTCACTAGTAATGAAAGTCTTTATAAGGTGATGGTCATTTTGTGGTCAACATGAAATAAATTGATGGTGCCAGCCCAGGTCCTAGGAGACATCTGTCTACGTGTGAGTATCATCCCCAGCTTGCAAGACATCTCTGCAAAGGATCTGGTACCTAAAAGTTTTAATGAGCCTTCATTCAAAATGGGGTGGCTTTCCCTTTTGTCCAGTGGTAACCCAGCTGTTTTCAAGGGCAGTAGATCTAGCATAATCACAAGATGGAGTAAAAGACTCTTTGAAGAAGACATCAGTAGAGAAAACAAGCTGTTTGGGATGCAACACACACCGTGAGATCCACACCCACACCATTTCTTTCCCATTAGCTTGTTTGCCTGCTATGACAGGTGTTCTCATTAGCCATATGTATAAATATTTGTCTAACTTTTTTTTTTATCATTCTGGTACTGTATGTATAGGAAGAAGTGGAGCCAATCTGTGCATGAAAATCAATGTTTGAAGATTTCCTTTTGGCTGCTGGTAGCTGAGGCCTCTTTTAGCAGCCCCTGTTGCAGTTGGCTGCCGTCTCAGAGCCACTTTTCCAACTATTAGAAACCAGATTAGGAAAAATAAATAAATAAATAAATGGATGAGATATTGACCATCCACATGTCATACATTTTGCCAATAAGTATTAATGACAAAGACACTAAGGAATGTAATCTTCCATCAATGAATCAATACAAATCCCATTAACACTCAATGAGGGGATAAGAAAGCCTTCAAGAGCCTCACACTTGGTCTTTGTATAGGACTCCCTCTAAAGGCTCAGGAAATACTTTCTCCTTCAGGACCAGCAGTATATTGTACCTTTAATGAAATGAAGAGGTCTCAAGAGTCAAGGAGACTCAGTAGATGAATCTACTTTACAAATTCCAAGTCCAGCCCATGCAAAAATTGTATGCTTATTTGAAGTGTTTCAATTCTGATAGAATCTGGAAACTGAGAAGTCCATAACATCAGCCATTCTGCAAGGATGTCAACAAGATCAGTAAAAACAAAAGAAAATTAAACAGTGTTTCAAAATTCTTTAAAATTATGGCATAGCAGGTTTTAGTCAGCTTTCTCCCTTCTTCCTCACTTCTCTGCTCTTCTTTGTCTCTCCACTTTCAGAAGTGATACCAAGCATGCACCCTTGACCTTTTTCCTTGTAGATCTACAATCATCTGCAATAGTGATTTAACTCACAGTACCTGCACTGTGCAGTTCTGCTTCCACTGAAATTAAAACTGTAGCTAAACTTCATGGGAACTTAGAAGCTGCTTCAGGACATTTTAGCTCACTGAAGATTTAGCCAAGGATAAATTAGCTAAAGAGAACAACGATGTTACTCAGAGCAATTGGTTCAAGTTAACCATTAGACCTACTGGGCAACTTTATCAAGTTCTTGAAATGCTTTTGAATGTAACAATATCGTGGAAATAGGAGAAAAATTGCATAAATATATCTACATCCTCAGGACAAAATCTTCCAACCAAATCAGAGCAAAATAAAATCAGATTCTGAGTTGTGTCTTTTGTTTTGGCATTTTTTGCTTTTCTTTTTTGAAGCACCTGGTGGGGAAATGTTCAAAGCCTCTGAGAGCAATTTGTGTTGAATATTAATTTGGGGTGAGGGCTTAAAGCCTCTTTGTTCTTCTGGAAGTCTTTGCATAAATCTAGAGCACATTTAGGTGCCACAATATCAGTGAATTCAATAAAACCCTTTCCCTTATGTCTCCTATTTCCTTTTCTCCCTCCACTTTACTTATTCATGTTTCTCTGAAAATTTGGGGGGGGGGAAGAAAAAAAATAATAAAAAAAATGTCTGAAAAAAAAATGTCTGTAGTTCCTTATTCTCTGTTTTAGCAATTAGAAGTGCAGTCTATGTTACCAGTATCATGGGAAGACAACTGGGCCGTCTGCCTCCTTCCTGGTTTCCTATGAATTGCTCCAGCCTGTAAAGAAAACATTGTGGGACTTTGTTCAGAACAGCAAGAAACTAAATATTTATCTTCCCTCTTATAATTTATGCAGCATGGGATTGATACAGAAAGAACCAAGATTGAAAGGTCAAGTGAGCTTCCAAATAGTGTTTTACAATGATATATCATTGCACTTTTACTCTGGCCTGCTATCTAGAAAATAAAGCACCAGTAGCACCAGTGTACCTGAAGAAATAATCTTCACAGTGCCACAGCCTGATTTTATTAATAAGCATGCTGCTTAATTTGCGTTTCCTTCAGGACTTAGGGGGTTTCTTTATATTCCTATAGCTTTTCCAGTTCAAGGAACCTGAACCGGTGGTAGCACTGTGTCCAGGCTGGTGTTTTAATATTTCAGTAGACTGGGTTTAGCATGAAGATATCTGCAGATGAGGCTTTTTCTGGTGTTGGACCAAGTCAGGACAGCCCAAACTCACATTACATGTCTCAAGCAGACCAGGGAGTAAATTATCTTGTTGAGAATAACTGGGTTTTGTTTCAACACTGAGCTAGTAAAGCAGTATAAATACGTTGTTCTTTCTCATGAGAAACCTTTCAGATGGACAGCTTCCCCTAGCTGTCGATCTCCAACTCCAAGCTGCTGAAGCCACAGTCCTTATGCTTAGGACTAAGGGACCTTTCTAGTTCCAGGGAGTGTAATAATATTTGAACTATTCCCTTTTACATTTGCACTGCCATTATTATGACCTTCAGGAAAGGCCAATGCAAGCAGGTCTGCTCTACACCAGAAAAGAGGGATGTGTCTGTTAAATGCAGCTTTTGCTAGTTTATACATCTGCTCAGTAGAGCTGGTCACTTAACCGCACCCTTCTGAAGCTGGAAAAGACTTGTCCGTTAGCGTGCATGATGTGCCAGAACAGCACATCAGTTTCTACTCAGAAGATACTTTAAGTGCTCTGCTAAAGTTGAATGACCCGGGCTACTAGCGGATATGGTAGGTTCTCCACCTCGTGAAGTCTTCAAATCAAGACTGGATGCCTTTCCAAAAGATATCGTTTAGCTCAGTATGATTTATTAGGCTCACTACAGTGGGAAATGGGTAAAATACTAAGACTGGAATTACAGAGCAGCTAAGCACAGGTGACCTGATGACCCCTTCTGGCTTTAAAAATCTAAGAGCTTAGCCAAAGATCCAAGAAGTGAATACAGCTTTTTTATAGGCATGATGTAAACAAGTTTATGTGAATGTGTGTGAACCAGGATCAGCAAGGTGCTGCTAGGTCAGATTTGTAGCACTTTAGAGCTGTTCTTCACAAATACGGCAACCATAAAAGAATAATTAAAAGCAAAATCATAGGTAGGAGCTAAATAAAGCAGTGGCATTGTTTTCCTTTAAATGTCATCTCCTTTGGTAGAAAAAGAAGAGTGGAAAATTGTAGGTGTCTGGCCAAAAAAAGGGAGGGGACACATGGATCAAAATCTTCTGCTCTGCAGATAAGAGGGGAATGAAAGACTTCCTGACACAGGGAACAGAGGCCCCAGGGGGGCGTGGGGGCTGCGGCCAGCTGGGAAATGCCCAGCACTGTATATAGAAACCCTCACAAACAAACAGCTCCCGCGTGGCACAGCGGCCAGCCCGCGTGGCAGCCGGGGGTGCCGGGGGGGGGACTGACCCCTCTGCAGCCCGTCTGGCCTGGCGGATTTAACGAGTCCAGCAGTCACATCAAAAACACCCTCAGCCCTTAGATGAATGAGCTGTTTGTTTTTCTTCCCGATGGCTTGATAAGAGGTCACAGGATGTGTTCAATTTCTTTTATTTTTTTCTTTCTTTCTTTTTACTTTTTTTTTTTTTTTTTAAATGAAACAATAGGTTAAGAGAGAAAAGCCCCAGCCCAGTCCCAATAGGTCTCTCGTCCCCCGTGCTGCTTCATTTCCTGCCTTTTTGAAGCAGACATCCCCCTTTTGTTTTCCTCCAGCCCGGCCAGCGCGTGTCGGTGCGGCGGCCACCGAACAAATAGGTTTTGGCCACCGCCACCTCCTCGCCCCCGCCTGCCCGCCCGCCGTCGCTCGCGGCCGGCGGCTTCCTGAGGCCGGGCGGCTGCTGCCGGCCCCAACCATAGGCCTCGCAGGAAGAGATGGAGGGCCCAGAGCCAGCACTGGCGGAAGCGACGGGAAATCCCTGCAGCTGCCAGATTGCGCTGCCGCAGCCGGCGGGACGCAGCCTAGGCAATCGGGCGCAAGGCGAGAGAGCTTTCCTGTCGGCCCGGCCGCCGCTGGAAGTTTGTGGCACGCCGGCTCCCACACGCACGCCCGGGGAAGTGCTGGGAGGTGAAGATAAGGCCTCCCGCTGCCACCGCCGTGGTGAAAGTGGGAAACAAAGCCAAATAGGCCCGGAGGTCTCCCGAACTGGAAGGGGACGCGCACTGTCTCCAGGCCGGGTTTGCGGGAAGGACAGGAGCCGGGCAATATGTCAGAGGGGAGAGAATGAGTGTGGTGGGGAACCCCAGGCTGCTGGGGTTACACAAGGGGAAGAATACTCAGGGCTGGGCTCAGGCCTTGAAATTTTCAGCCCCCTTCCCAGTCCATTAGCCTGTCCTAAAATCAGTGTGCAAAGAGGCTGTTTCAGCCAATCATCCACAAAATCTGAGGCACATATGAAACCCACGGGTTTCTGGCTGTTAGGCCCTTCCTCCAGCCAAGCACCAGGCTTCCTTAAAGGGAAACCAAGCACTCACTCAAGACCAGGCCTCTTCAAGGGGTTATGCCTCTAATGGCCACAAACAGGCTTGAGATTCAAAAAGCAACTTCTGACTTCTTCCCTACCACACAGTCTGTGCCCAGCAGGAGTTGAACAGCAATGGGAAAAACAGGTTTCCCTCCAAGCTGTACCACAGGTGTTCGCAGCCATGCTGCAACTCCAGCTTATAGGAGAATGTGACTTGTAAATCTGTTAGGTAAAGGCCTAACTTCTGGTTTTGGCCTAAAATGATGAACATTTTAAAAAGTTCTAAGCTGTTTAAACTGATTGTTAAGGTGCTCATCCTTGAATCTGGTGACCTCTCATTATAACCCCCTTCATAAAGACAACCTTCTCCTTTGTGCAGAGACTGCAGTGCCCGTCCATGAGGCAATGCAGGAGTTAAAAATATATTCATATAGGCAAATCTGAACACTAAAATAAAATTGTCTTCCTGAGGTCATTGTCTCTGTAGACTGAAGAGAGGGAGGAAGTGTAGGAATGTGTCGCTGATTAAGATACCCCATGCTGGGCAGGTATCAGTTTAAACACTTTAGACTGTTACCTGCTCAGCAGGGGAGACCTGAATCCACATTTGATGATTAGGCCATATTTATGTCGCAGCTCAGTAAGTCTCTATCCATTGGCCTGATGAGAATAAGGTGTAAAACACACCAGTATCTTCATATTAACCTGAGGGGTGAAAAAAGGTTTCACAGGTACATTAGATTTCTAAATACGTGGGTGTCCAGGGCCCATTTGCCCCAGGCTGTGTTATGGGTATATGACAAACCACCCACTCTGTCCCCTTTCACATTTTGGACGAGTTATGCAGCAAGCTGAGCCACATCAAATTAATATGTGTTCAATGGCACAGGCAGCCAAACTGATAACTTTGTGCCTGAAGAAAAGAGGTTTTTTTCTAGTACATGGAAAAACTCTGCTTATATATACATACACAAATATATACACATATATCTATAAACTCTGCATACACACATATAGTCTTATGTATATTATGTTTTGCAGCTTTCTGTACACGAAAAGCTGTAGCTATGTTGTATCATACAGCATTTGAAGGTCTCGAATTCTGATTAGCATTCTTGATGGGCTTTTTCAGCATGGTTTACTCAGGATACAAGTCTTATGCAATCACAGTCTGTGTATGTGTGTACGCGTCTGTCACCATTAGACATCAGATAATTTACACAGGAGAGAGGCAAAATGAATGTCCCTAGACCAGAAAAAAAGCTTTCTGGAGAAATATTTTCTGTCAGAATTTTCGCGTTATTAGACAGCAGTGAGTCCAACCACAAAACACCTATCCATTAAATTTTTTTATTAGGCTTTGTTAAGTCCTATACTTGTGGAACAACTTAATTAATATTGAAAGAATTCTTGCAGATAATAAGTTATAAAGGATGTCACCAAATAATTAAAATGTTACTCATAATTTATTTTAGTCTGCTGCATTTTTCACTGCAAGAAATATATATATATATATATATATATATATATTTATATTTATATTTATATTTATATTTATATTTAAAGTGTTTTATTTTTCAGTTTTACAAAATTCTCCCATTGGCTATATGTATATAGGTTTGTAGCTCTGGGCAGAGCTCAGCTTTCAGGAGATTGCGCTCCCACATGACCAAAACCATCTCACATAACACACAAGCTAATGCTACTGTTTGGAAGTTAAACCTTACCTTCAAATGTTCGTGAGTGATGAGTAAGAAAGGACTTGAGCTCATATGCTCTGCAAAATGAGAAATCAGGAACCAGGTCTGATTAGTACAACTTCTTATGGTCTTGGGTGTTCCTCAACCTTTAGCCAATGGAGATAAAATTATGAACATAGGATTTAATGTAGGGTTATATAGGGTATAAAGTAGGACAGTACCTTAATTTTTTTTTTGTCTTTTTGTTTTGTTTTGTTTTTTAATAACTGTCTTGGCATTGAGCTTCATACACACAACAAAGAGTTGGGTTGTGGTAATGCTTACACAATAAAATCTAACTCAAACAGCTGTGATTGCACCTGGAGAAGTCCCACTTCCTGCCAAAAATCCATCTCTTTGACTGGGAGAGCTACTCTAGTGCCCAGGTAGGCACTGTGTACACTGTGTGTGATATTAGACTGCCTCATTTCTAAGGGTACAGTGGGAGCACAGACCATTTACTACAGTTCTTTTTTGGGGAGAATAATCCAGTGATATGGAGGACCCAGGAAGGAAAAGGGAACTATGGCTTGAATTGCTGATATTTCTAAAGGAAAAACATCAGTTGCCATAACAGTAAAAATGAAAAATTCAAAGAGGTCAGTATTAAAATACAGGATTTATTCTTCTTGAAGAAAATGCTCCCCCACATCAACATGTGGATTTTAGTTGCTGAGATTCAGATTTTATTCTTTTTTTTTTTTAATGGATTAATTATTATTTCTTAAAGCATCCCTCACTGTTCACAGTCTGCAAACTAACCGCTGCTGTAGAGCCTGTTTCTGAAAAAGAGTACTTGTGCCTTCTAGTCCTTCCTAGAAAATTACAAAAGGTATTAAATACCTCTAGCCCATCTTTCCATCTGTGACTAAATGGAAACGAACAGGCCTGGAGAGATGGAGAATCCCCAGCTGGGAAAAGATGAGAGCACTTGCTTCTGTAATATAAATATGTTGGCAAACAGAGATGCTTTGGGAAGGACAGACCCACAGTCAGTGCTTTGTGTCTCTTTCTTTTCCAGTTCTCTGGAGAGGGAGAGCTGTTTTGTTTTTGATTTTTGTTTTGTTTTTAACCTCCTTATGGCATATTTCCTTTTGTAATATAGCCACCTTGGCACCTTCTTTATCCTTTTAAGGCCACTGTCAAATAAAATAACCCTTACTGAAAGCTTATTTCAGCATATATGTATATGTGTGTGTGTATATATATGGAGGCTCCATCTACAAAATTTCACATTTACAGGAAAAAAAATCCAATACTGTCTTGAACCCTCAAGATATAAAGCCAGATTATTTTTTTTTTCCCTTTGTGGTAGCCTACCAAAATGAAAGAATAGAATCACTATTAATAAAATAAAGTCCCCAGAAACTCCTCCTACCAGGCTGGTATTGATCTCTGTTTACCTCGGGGGCTGCAGACTGGCAGGAGAACCTGCCATCTGACCATGGCATGTGCCAAGTCTCGCAGACTTCTTGTAACTGAGTCTTTGTGCTGTAATTTACTTTCAATGGAACAGGGATGCATCCAGAAGGATCAGTGAGGTGTACACCTCAAAGTGTAAAAAAAAACAACGTTTTGTTCTGAACTAATTATGTTGATTCTTGTGTATGTGCTAGGTTGGAGCTTTCCAAGGAGAAGCAGACAAGAAGCCTCCACTACCATCTTTGGTCACCATTCAAGCTGTAGGGGATTTCAGTGTTTCTGCCCTCAGGGCCATCTAAAACTGGGAACTGGGAACTTCAGGAATTCACAAAACCAAAAACAAACAAACAAACAGACAAACAAACAAACAAAAACAGTAAAGTGGTGTGTGGGGAGAGAAGAAATAGCAGAGGCACTTTACAGCCTTCCTAAGGTCTGGATCCTCCTCAGCATGGTACAGGGTTGGAGAGGGGAAAGGGGCAATATTTCTGCAGAAGCTCTTGATTTACTGAAATAGGTTGAAGAGGTTGAGCCACTTAAAATTGGGTTAGCTTTAGCAACTCTTCTTTTGCTGTGCTTGCTCAGGAAATGTCGGCGGTGGACACCCTTAACCTGTACTACATTTTGAAGAGGCCAGATTCTGCTCTCTGCAGTATTGCTGTAAAGCCCAACTGCATTAATTGCACTGGATTCCCTTGATTCCGATCCTCAGCATACATGTATTTTCTTCTCTAAAAAGGTAAAAACAGACAAACAAACAAATAAACAACAACAACAAAACAGTTGAATTAATAATTAATGACTTTGGCTTCTCAGGTATTTTTTTCCCCAGTCAAGTAGAAGGCTGGTTCCTCCCTTTTCATCCAGCTCAGCATACAAAAGTACCTAAGATATCTGGAGAGAATCAGCATTCTCGTGGAAAAGCCCTGATCTATAGCTTTACTTGGCTATAGGACAAGCCATAAAGGAAGAAATTTTATTAGGAAAATGACAATTTACCATCAGAAATGTTTGAACCATACATTTAAATTCTTGAATTTGGGGCAAAACATTATTTGCACATCAGACTCAGCTCTCCTTATCTCCATAGCCTGAAGTATTTCTAGTGTTGCCAGCTGTACAGTGCATATCTCATTGCAGTACACAGTGCTCTGAAGTGTGCCAAGTAATAAGCTATAAAGAGAGAAGCAGGACTCAAGCAACACAAGGATGCAAAGCAATATTTTCCCTTGACACCCAAGGTCATGGCATAAAGAAACGTGGAACAAGGGAGCGTCAATTTTCATTGAAGATGCAGGGTACAGTGCTGCTGTACCAAGCTAACAGAAATAAATTAACATGATGGCAAACTTAGAATGTCCTCTTAAAATGTGTTTGTAAGTATGTGAGCATGCATGTGGGGGGATGATGCTACATTGCTCTGTATATTTTCATGGCTATCAGAAACAGGCATCGCAGACATGGAAAGAAATATTTTTTAAAGATAATCTACTGTGTATATACTATAAATACTGAGACACATTTTTTGCAGGGACCTCTGGGTTAAAGAACTGAGAGGAGTAAGCATAGTTTGCTGCCCAGTGAATTACTCATCAATACAGTCTTAGCTCATTACAATTCCTAACCAAAACATATACCCAAGATGACTTTTCAGGATCAGTTATGCTTACATTTTTGCCTCTATAAAGCTGGGATAACTATTTTTTCATTCTTCCATTCTCTCGCCTCCATGGTGAAAACACGTATAGGAAAATACAAAAAAAAAAAAAAGTTTTTCTTTCTTATTTTCTAAAAAAAAAAAAAGTGTTATACAGTCTATATGAGCAACAGTCGCAGAAAAAGAGCTTGGTTTCTTATTACTCTGTACCCAATTTGGAGTCCTGGGAAGTCAATGGGAAATCCTCCATTGACTTCAATGGGGGTTGGATCAGTCCCTTGAATGGTATCAAACCAGCAAGAAGGATTCGTAGCATTCACCATATGGCTCCAACTTACTTTAATTCTTTACCTAACATTTCTGAAATGCAGACTGTAAGGGAGCATTCTTTTATAGTTAGGAAAGTACACGGTGCTTAATTTTAATGGAAAACTCTTTTTTAAACACAGACGGATCCTGCTGTGTTTGACAAATATGTTCCAGAAAGAAGCTCAATCTAGATGTTATGTGTAACTTTATCTTATTCCCTTTTGAGCACTACTGTTCTTGCAAAGTGATCTCTCAACTGCCCAAAGTCATTACACTTTTTCCCTTTCACATTGTACCTCTGTAAATGTCAGGCATAACTACATTTTTATTTGCAGAGATACCACTGCTATGAATGAGTAAAAATTTCCTGCTCCCCCGCCTCCTTCTCTTTACCCTGTGCGCTTTCTGCTAATATGATTTGTTGAACAAATTGTTCCATTAATCTGGGGCTGTTTGACAGAGTGAGAAAATAAGTGCCAAAGTGAGAAGATTCACAAGAATCGGAAATCTCAGTCCCTCTTTCTCAAGGTAAATAGTTATTATATCAGGGTGTCAGACTGGTGAAATGGATGTACTTTCATTCTCAGTTTGTAAATGTCACTTTTCCTCAGCCCATCAGGGTGACAAATGAGGTGTGGGTTACAGTAAGAGTTCATTCCTTGACAAAGTTCTTGCTGGCTTATTTCAACAGGAAGGTAACCTCCCCTTTCTGCCCCCCACCCAAAGGCAGGGGGAGGGGGAAGAATCTTCAGTCAGGAGAGAAACAAGGCAACCTAGGCTTGAACAATGCCCAACTGGTAAATACCAATTTCCATTTGCTGTTAAAACCTGATAGAGGCTTCTTCAAAAAACAAGTCGTGATGCACTTTGTTTGCTTTTCTCCTCCTTTCTGGCTTGTTGTTTTTATCTAAGACCCGTATGACATACTTTTACTGGTGCTTATGTCAATATTTATTGAACAAGTGGTCAAGAGAGGCCACTTCTTAAGTCCTGTGCTATCTGGTTGTTAATTACCACACTGCAATGTGTTAATGAAGAAGAACACCCTCTTCTTTTGACAGATAATTGATAAGAGATCAGGCGGACTGATGCCTGACAAGGAACATGAAATGGCTTCTTTGATTGCCACACAGATCACTGCACTTAAGGAGTAATGGGACTAGCTAGGAGCTAGTTGCTCCCAGAGAAGACGCTGTCACCTTACTGTAGTAAGGTGGGAGCAAAGGATTTGAAAGCCATTTGAGCAGAAGGCCTTCTTATATTTCCAAGTCTATGAGAACTGTATGGTCTCTCAATAAAATAGCATTTACAGGAGTTCAAGAATTGTCTTCAGCAAAGCTCAACCACTGTCCTCAAGATATAGACTTGTGCTGGTTTTGTTAATGGTCTAGCAACTGCAAAAGGAAGCTGCAGCGCCTTGAATTTGCTATAGTAGTAATTCAAGAAGATATTTGTTTGATGGATTTCACCCTTCTCTTTCTGCTAGTGGAAGCTCTTAGCGATAAGAACAATCTAATGACTAAATTCAGGTTCTCATCTTCAGAATGGTTTGTGAAGCAGGTGTGTACGGTGCTCATAAAAAAAAAAAAAAAAAAAAAAGTTATAATGCAAGCTGATAAAAAAGCCCAAACGTGTGATTCTGCTAGAAATTCTGGAGAAAAAGAAGGTAGAACATGTGGAATTATTTATATTTATTTATTTATGTTATGTGGGGAGTTTTATTTCTTTATGCTTTTTTTTTATTGGTTTTTACTTTCAGAATGAATCAAAATTTTGTACATAGAGAAAAACTAGGAAAAAAAAAATCTGAATAGAATTGAACCCACAAGCCAAGCACCCAAATTACTAGCTCTGTAAAGGCTCTGATAAGCTTTCTAGATCTGCAAGGCTCTTAATTTTGAATGATTAAAGGCTAGGATGGGATCTAACAAGTAATCAGACCACAAGTTCTGAAAGTTTGGAGTTTTCAGATCCTCATGCAGGCCCTAGGAGCTATGAACTGAACATTTGGGAGAGTCCACCTGTATTTTGTTAGAAGCTCATCAAAAGCAGTATGTTTTCATGTAACGTTTTCATTTTGGTGAGTCAGCATTTTCTGATAAAAATGCATTTCATTACAAAATATCAGCCCCATCAATGTATAATTTGGCACGAGAGAAGAAAGAGAAGGGTTGAGGGTGAATGGTAACAGGGACCTCCAGATCTGGATCTACTGCTTGAATCCAAAAGCCTCATAAATGAATGGCTATCATAGACTCCTGTGTGTGTTCAAACACTCAGAGGGAGGTATTAATTAAATGCATGTTATATGTTTCTTTTCCTGACTGATAAAATGTCAGACTTTGAATTAGCTTGACAATGACAATGCTTATGATTCAGAAATGGGAATTTGCTTTTCATTATTAAGAAAACCACTGTTCTCCAACACTCATTTAAAAGTAGCTGTTTCTACAAACATGTCTGCCACTAAATTCCCATACTAGAATATTTGTGAGAAATTAACATTAAAAAGGAGACTACACATACTCGAAGCAAATCTGTCTAATTTTCTGTGTGTGTGTGCATTGCCAGTGTATTTATCTCTGTGGAATCCCTGCAGCAGATAATACTCAATTTTGTATGACATCATAGTTATTTCAAACAGATCGCTGTCCCATAAGTATGGGATTATGCTTTACCTCACAGATCAGGGACTAAAAGGCCCTACTGGAAAAGAAATGTCAAAAGTAATAGTGTAGTGAAGAGGAAAAACAAATGGCTACATATTGTGACTTTCTTAAAAAATAATATAGAGAGAGAGAAAAAAAAAATCTCTTTTTCTCATCAAGTTTGTTCACGCACGTAAATTGTTCTTTGAAGACCTATTTTCTCCAGTACTGGCTAAAATAAGCAGAAGAGTTACAGTCAACAATATTCTGCCCACTTTGCCAGAGCCTTCATAATTTATGTCTAACCTGGATAGGAAAAGCCCTTATAAATTTCAACAAATGTCTCATTAATTAACACCCCATCTCCCTAAGCCACAGAGCAGCTGGTGAAAAGAATTGTGTAGGTTGATTCTGTAGATATAAACTAGGTCAACAAGAGGGATCCATACTCACTATTGCAGGCTGATATTTCTCTGGAGGGTATTAATAGTTTCTGGGGTCTTTCTGCTTAGACTCAAAACTATTCAAAGTCAACAGTATAAAGCTGCTCAGCCTATGCATTTAAATTAAAGGAAAAAAATGTACATATTTTTTCTGTGCCATGCAATGTAGTGGGTCAAATCCTGAAATCCTTTCTTAGGCCTCTATCCAAGACAATTGGAGTTTTTCTATTGATTTAAGTGAACCTTGTGTTGTGACCTTTTTCTAGTTAGCGCTCGATCATGCAAACTCATTTTTTTACTGATTACACTATATATTCACGGAGGGTCTAAAGTCCTTAGTCAGGCAAACTCTTTCTTCCTGCCTGCATGATAAATTATCTACAAAGCATTATTCTCTGCTCATTGCTAAACACTACTCAGCCTATTCAACATGCTAATTTTGGGGTAATTTATTTTTCTATAACTGTGCACAACTCTAACAAAATAAAATTTAAAATATAAGGCGGGACTATGAGGAATTAATATCATGAGTCTATTGAATGCAAATACTTAATGCAAGGTGGAAAGCATTTCCCTAACCGTAGGTGTCTTGCATATGAAAACCTTCTCTGAAGACATCTGAGAAGGCAGGCAGGCAATTTCCACCTATTCTTGCAGTTTTAGTATATCCTATG